TGAGAGGTTTTTGCTATAGGGCACGTGTGCTCGCCAGAAAGAAAGAGAGAGACAGGGAAATAGAAAGTGAGAAATCACCCCTCAAGGGGGATGGCCACGCTGCAATCCCTTCTCCTCTATTCTCTCAGGATCTTGGGCATGCACGCACATGCACCTATTGTGAGTTTAAGTCGCCGGGTCCAGGATTCAAATCGTGGTCGGCTACATGGGAGTTCAGTGACATAGCCATTATGCTAACTGCTGGTCCCCCCTTTTTGGAGTTTTATACATGGGTTTAAAATAGTAGTTTGTTGGGAAAGTCATGGCAAGTTTTTCTATGCAAAAATTCATCATGACTTTTCCAACAACCCAATAAATCTACGAAAGGCTTTACTCTCTGCTTGCCCTTAGAACTTGTGGGGAGGAATTCTTCTTCAGTAGTCAAGCCTGTGTTATAACATCTCAATTTTCTTCAAAAGGTGGAAACATGGCTTCAGCAACTTGAACAGGCCATGCAAGAAACAGTGCGTCATTCTATCACAGAAGCCATAGCGGCCTATGAGGACAAACCCAGGGAACTGTGGATTTTTGATTTCCCAGCTCAAGTTGCCCTAACCAGCTCACAAATATGGTGGACTACAGATGTAGGAATAGCCTTCAGTAGACTAGAGGAAGGCTATGAAACGGCTCTAAAGGATTTCCATAAAAAACAGGTATTTCATAAATGTGTGATTTCAAGACTTAAAGGGACTTGAAGAGGTATATTTCATTTGTTCATTATTATGGAGTGTCTTCTGTGTGCAAAGCAGTATTCCAGGAGATTTTTGGCAACTAGTTGTTAAGTTTAAGTTTTTCATTTTCTACCTTTGTATTACCCTTCTATTTCCATGGGGTTTTAAAAACACACGTCATGTCCATTGTCCCTCAAGGCTTTGTACAGCATCTACAGCACTGAGACCTGTTTAGTACAGCACTTAGCAGTGGTAAAATGCTATGCCCCAGACCTACTTGGGAAAATTCTGGGCTCACGTCTGGAAAGTATGTTGAGCATGTATGTGTCCATGACCCAGAGGTGGCTGAGGCCAGAGGTGATTGCAATGTCAAGCTGATTGAGGGTGCTCTACTTTTCTTTCTTGCTCACAGAAGAAATATTGGGTCATGAGTAAAGTAATGACGTATTTTTCTTTTACTTTTCTGATGACCCAGTAAATAAACTGAAATTTGTATGTACGTGACTGCATGAGTCACAAAAGTAGAGGATGTTTCAACAAAGATATTTTTATGTGTTGGCTTTCTGTTCAGTATAAATTATAGACAAGAAACTTTGGAAAATAGTCTATTTTGAATTACATTATATTCCTCCCTGTTATTCTATGACCCTTTGCTTAAGTCTCCCATCTTTACAGTGCTCTTGGTTGTATAAAAATTCCTTTTATCTGTCTAGAAATTCAGAGACTATTAGGCTTAGAAAGAAGTTTAGATACTAATTTTTCCGCTCTTCTTATTTTTAATGGATAGAATAAAATCCAGAGATAATATTAGGTCATAGAAAAATGCATCATGACTTTTCCGATGAACCAATAAATGATTTTACCAAGTCATACAATATATTGGGTCATCGGAAAAGTCATGATGTGTTTTTTTCTGTTTTTCTGTGCAAAAAATGCCTCATGGCTTTCCTGATGACCCACTATGAGTGAGACCAGCAGGGCTAGCACCGTCTCCCTGATACTGAACCGTTTCCCATTACTCCCCTTCCTCCTCTCTGCCTTATTAATGCTTTTGCTGCTTTAAAATTCAGATAGTGAGGGACCAGCAGTTAGAGTAATGGCTATGTTGCTGGACTCCCACATAGTCGACGGCGGTTTGCGTCCCGGACCCGGTGGCTTAAAACATGCCGGGCACGTGTGCGTGCATGCCCAAGATCCCCGAGAGGAGAATGGAGGAGAAGGGATTGTGGTGTGGCCATCCCCCCGGGGGTTGATTTCTTGCTTTCTGTCTCTGTGTCTCTCTCTGTCTGTCTGGTGAGTGCACGTGCCCTGTAGCAAAAACCTCTCAAAAAAAAAAAAAAAAATCAGATAGTGAAACACAGTTGTATTGTGAACATGTTCAGGAATGTTCATCAGGTCTCCCCACTGTAAACTTATGCTTTTCTCTTCCCTTCCAGTACTACACTTTTTGGAAGGGAGTCATCCACACACATGCAGTGGGAAGTTACGTACCCATCCTGGAAGGTGGAGTATCTGTAAATTATGGAGATTGATCTCTTTTCCCTTAGGGACCATGCTTTGCTGGGTTAATAATTTTTTTTTCTTGCTATAGGGTCCGTGCACTCGCCAGATAGAGGGAGAGAGACAGAGAGACAGAAAACAAGAAATCACCCCCTAGGGGGGATGGCCATGCTGCAATCCCTTCTCCTCCATTCTCCTCTTGGGATCCTGGGCACGCACCCGGCGTGAGTTTTAAGCCACTGGATCCGGGACACGAACTGTGGTCGACTACGTGGGAGTTCAGCAACATAGCCATTACACTAACTGCTGATCTCAAGTGTGGATTATTTTTAATTTCACTCTTTCAGGACCAGCAGTTAGCATAATGGCTATGTTGCTGAACTTCCATGTAGTTAACCATGGTTCGAGTCCCAGACCCAGTGGCTTAAACTCACACCGGGCACGTGAGCATGTGTGCCCAAGATCCCGAGAGGAGAATGGAGGAGAGGGGATTGTGGCATGGCCATTCTCCCTTGGGGGCGTTTTCTCGCTTTCTGTCTCTATCTCTCTCTGTCTTTCTGGTGAGCACATGTGCCCTATAGCAAAAACCTCTCCAAAAAAAAAAAAAAAAATTCATTCTTTAAATCTTGGATAAGGACTGCCCTACTTATTTCTGTTGCTACAAAAGTTTTAAACTTCTGGAGAAAAATATATTTTTTTGATTTTACATTCTTAGGAAGATGGAGTATTATTTTCTATTTTTAGGCTAATAGTTTAGTGAAGCGACTAGTTTCCTTCTAGGACGCTTACTCTGCAATTCTAGTGGCTGTCACCTGGAACTAAGTAGTTAGGTTTTCTTTATAGACATAAATAATTGAGGCAGTTAATTAAATTGTAATTAATTCCATTGTACTTTTATAAAAATAAAAACTCTTGGTTAAATTATTGATATTTGTGCTTTTATTATAACAATGTTCATTATATGATTAAGGGCATTTTAAAATACTTAGAATAATATCCTTTCTTAAATTTTAGTTGTTATCAATCACTATTTAAGTTTAAATGTTTCAACAAACATATTTACTCATTTTACTCTTTTTTCTTTTACTTTAATGCTCCTTTGCCTCCAACTTGCCACTTTTTGCTTACTAGACTATTTTATTACTTAAAATGTTAGATGGTATCTTATGGATATTTCTTATTTATAGAAATTTTATTATTTAAAATTTTATGATTATTATATATTTATTTTTAAAGATGAAGAAGAAAATACAGAGAAATTTAAAATGTATTTTTGAAACATCAATAAACCTCCAGGAAAAAAACCATTGACAGCATTTTGGTATACAAATAGCAAATATTTTTCCTTTATTTTCTATCTGTCTTTCTGTGTGAATATATAAAAATCTCTCTTTATGTAGTTATATATGTATCAATATGTAACTATTTACATATAAGTAGTTATTAGTTCATATAGCTATATGTCTGTGTCTCTAGATGAACATGGAAAATACTAATTTTTTTTTACATTTCATACATTTTTATTTGGTTAATTTATATTCAATATATTATATACAATATGTAGTCATAAATATACATCAACTCTGCACTAAAATGACTGAATAGTATTTATTTATATGGATATACCAGAATTTATTTTTCCCTCTGCTTTAGGGTTTTTGTTGATTGTCTAACTTCTTTATTTTTGAGTTTTTTTTACTGTCAAGATTCTTTATTTTAAAATGAATCACAACACTAAACCTTTGGCCCCTTCTGCCCCTGTACAAGCTATGAATGCTTACTCAGTAGCTGGGGGACACTCTTTAGTAGCATACCTAAAAAGTAAATAAAAATCCTTGTAAAACAAGTATTCAAATAGTTTCCATAGGAAGAGAGGAGTGACCCCCTCTCCTAGCCTTCCATGTTGTTACATCTCTGCCACCCCTACTCTGACAAAGACACTTCCAAACTAGCAGTAATTAAGTTAAATGGTCTCCCCAAGCCTCTAATTCAAACTACACACAGTATTAGCTGGAGGACGGTAACTACATGTTAATACTGGCTGAGGCGCAGGGTGCTGAGTGGTGCTTCATCTTGCTTTCCAGGACTTGAACTGCATTTGACTACGTGAGAGTCCAGCAACATAACCATTATGCCATCTGCTGGTCCCTATGGACCTATCTTTTATTTAGCATTCATTCCAAAGGAAGTTGCAAACATCATTATGCATCTCTCGTAACCTGTGCTCTATTCACTTCAATTGTTTTATTAAAAATATTTTTGGCTTTAGTTGATGAGTACAAATTGTGTATAATTATGGTGTACAACATGACACTTTGACATACGTATACATTGTGGAATGACCAGACACACTATTTAATGTATCTATTACCTCACAAACTTATCTTTTTTTACATAGCAAAAACATTTAAAATTTATTCTCTTAGCAATTTAAAACATATATGATGCTGGGCCAGCAGGTGGCATGGAGGTTAAGGCAGCTGGGTCCCACACGGCTGACTATGTGGATTGAGTCCTATAGACCCAGGTAGCTTGAAAAATCACACCAGAGCATGTGCATATGTGCCCCAAATCCCACGAAGAGTGTAGAGGAGAAGGGACTGCAGCATTGCCATCCCCCCTGGGGAGCAGTTTCTCACTTTCCTCTTCCCCCAGCAACCCCATATCTCTCTGGTGAGTTCATGTGAATTATATCAAACTAAACACAGACACACACACGCACACACACACACACACACACACGGACATGTACATACTGTATTGTTAACTCTAGTCACCATGTTGTATAATAGATTTTTTTAAAACTTATTCTTCCTAATTGAAATGTTGTGTTTGACTGACACCTCCCCGTCCTAGCCTTGGATAAAGAGCATTTTACTCTCACTTTAGTCATCTTTACTCTCTTGTTTATATGAGTGTAATTTCTTAACATTCCATACATAAATAAAATCAATATAAGTGTCCATCAGTGGATGAGTAGAAAGAAAATATGGTATATATACACAGTGGAATACTAGTCAGTGTTAAAAAGGATGGAAATCATGTCATTTGTGACCTATAGATGAAGCTGGCAGACATTACACTAAGGAAAATAAGTCAGAAATTTCCTTTCTGTTTTCCATAATGGCTGTGCTAACTTATATTCCCACCCATGGTGTACAAGGATTCCTTTTTTGAACACATCAATTTATATACTCATTATATCAGTTTAATATCAGTTATTGTATTTTCAATTTCCCCAAGTTTTTTTGTTTGTTTGTTTCTTAAAAGTATTTTCATTTCATTTCTATTCTTTAATCTCATTAATTATTTCAGAGAGATGTTTAATAGTTTTATTTGGATTGTTGTACTATTTCTTTTGGTGCTGGTTCATCTGTTAAACTGAATGTGTTTTTTTGTTTTTTTTTTTTTTTTTTTTTTGGTGAGAGGTTTTTGCTATAGGGTGTGTGTGCTAGCCAGCCAGAGAGAGAGAGACAGAGAGA